AGATGTGATGACCATGACGTATATGTTATTATTATTATCAAAACAATTAAACATATAAAATTCATATAGTGATATGTCACAATTGATAATCGCACAGTGACAATGATGACAATTGATGATGATAATAATAACAAATAACAATTTATGCATAATTATACAATCGATAAAGTAATTCATAATTATATTCTTATCATTATCCATTACAATCATTATATTGTTCATTATTCATTTCATCATATTATTATTATTATTATTATTATATTATTATTATTATTATTATTATTATTATTATTATTCATATTTATTATTATTATTATATTATTTATTATTTATTATTTCATACATCATACATCTCATCAATTATCATCATTATTATCATTATCATCATTATCATTATCATCATCATTATTTTAATCAAAATAATAATAATAATGAAACAAACAATACAATAACAGCAGGGATAATAATGATAACAACAACAACAACTATATGAATAATGATAATGATAATAACATTTTCATTCTTATTAATGATGATAATAATGATAACAATATAAATAATCGGTCACAATGATAATTATAGCAATATCAAATTAATAAAGATAATATCAATAATAACAGTAATGATAATAACAAAAATAGCAATAATAATAATAAACATTGTTATTGATGAGAATAATGTTAATATTTCAAATTATAATGATAGTAAAAATGATAATAATGATAATAATAACAATGATGATGATGATAATGATAATAATAAAAATCATGATGATGATGATAATGAAAGTGATGATATGATGATGATGAATAATAATACTGATAATAGTAATACTACTACTAATACTACTACTACTACTTCTAATACTACTACTAATGATAATAATGATAATAATAATGATAGTAATATTAAAATAATAACAATAATAATAATAATAACAATGATAATAACAACAATAACAATAATGATAAAAGTATCAACAAAAATAACAAAAATGATAAAAATAATAATAGTAAATATAATAATAATGGTAAAAACAATAATGAAAGTAATGTTAACAACAACAATGATAGTAGTAATAGTAGTAGCAGTAATAATAACGATAATAATGATAATGATAGTGATGACAACAATAACAATGATAATAATAACAATAATAATAACAGATCAAAGATCAGAAAGGTAATAATATTAATGATAATAATTATACTACTAATAATAAAAATGATAGTAATAATGATATTAATGATAATGATAATAATAATAATAATAATAATAATAATAATAATAATAATAATAATAATAACAACAATAACAATGATGATAATAATAATGATGATAAGAGATGATAAAAATAATGATAATAGTAATCGTATTGATAACAACAATAATAATGATGACAATAATGATGATATTAACGATAACAGTAATAACAAATTAATGATTATAATAACAATAACAATAATAATAATGATGATGATAATGGCAATGATAATAATAATTATTGATAACGATAAAAATAACATCAATATATCATATTTCTTATCATTGCCATAATTCTACATCACGTAATATTGTTTATCAAACTCCAATGAACAAGCGGACTATCAGAATCATTCCAAAACCCAAAAGGAGTGAAGCATCTTGCAAGTGAAATGCAACACACGCGAGAGACAGTAATGACAAAGGCTCTCAGTCGCGCGTTTAATTGACTTCCTTCTCTTCGACCTTTTAACTCGACTGATTCAAAAAGCTTCGTTCATTTCTTAACCGAAGCGAAGCCCTAGGCACTATTTATCGTTATCGAAAGGCGATGGGCGTTTTGTAAAATCGTCTAAAAAAAGGCTATCATTTTTCCAAGATCTTGTAGATAACTTACCATAGCACGATGTTGCGAAGAAGAACGCGACCGCCGGTATAAACCAGCCGTTTAGCCGTCTCAACATTTCTGCGCTCCTGGTTTGAACCCTTAATTAATCGAATTAAAAAGGAAATAGTAATTCTTTACGAATATTTGAAAATTCTCCGTTTTTTATTGAACGGCTTAGAAATGCCCGATATTGCAGTATGCTCTGGATTTGATTTATTTAATTTCAAAATCTTCTCGATGAAAGCACGCACTGGAAGACTGGCCACTAACGCCACGAGGAAGACGCGCCCTGACACCTTTCCCGCGCGCGCGACCGAA